AAATAAGTATGGGCTAAATAATGTGATAGTGCTTTCTTTTGGAAACGATATATTAACATAATTTCCATCTCATTAACTATTGCCCCATACTATGTTACAATACGATATGTATTATAACAATAAAAGAATCGTCAAGCATAAGCATAAATAATGAGTTTTTGGGAAAGATCATATTTTAATTAATATAGAATGCCTATGCCTCTCGAGTCTTACATGCAATGTTATTAATATGACTATTCCGTGTGGGATTCGTATCAATCATTATAACTGGTTTTGCAATTTTGATCGTGTCATCTATAACAAAATATCAAAATGAACTAGATTATATGTTTTGAAATGACTCTTATTTATAGAAAGTTTATGTGAATGAAATACGTTAGTTTCATCTGCGAATAAAACGTAAGTTAGGGGCGGTGATGCATTAACAATATCATTCACAGAAATAAAAGCAGTAAGGGACCCAAGAAAGAGCCTCATGGTAATCTGAACATAACGGTGGAAATATTAGATGTTTGCTTGTAAAAAAAGGTTCGAAATGTAGTATAATGGTACAAAAGCAATATAAAATCTGACAATAAAACATTATATTTCGAAAATTTACCCATACTCCGGAAAACTACCTTGACACTACCGAGCCGAGCCTAGGTTCTGTATCACTCAGGAAGACCTTTTACCATCACAACACACACTCTTTCTTGTAAACAAATATTCTTTTCTCCTCACACAAGACAAGCTTTCCAGACGGAGTCACCAAGCAAGCACTACGATATAAAGACGTGCTTCGGTCGTCGTACCCTACAACCCCTTTCGTCTTGATGATATCCTCCGAAGACATCTGACCAACGGTACATCTACCGCGCTTCTTGCACCAGTTCGTAACAAAGATGGTGTCTGATAGCGGATATAAAGAGAAGTATCCTTCGTCGTACATGTAAGAATTTGTTTCTCCGTTTCTTGCGATGACGGTGACTTCGCAATCACCACTGCGTGCGATGATGCTACCCGAAGACAAATCGTGGATTCTACCTCGGACTTCATTCCCCGTGAACGTCATGGTGTTCTCGATCTCGCCATCAGCAGGGTTGATGACATGGATGTTAGACTGTCCTTACAGCGCTGCAAGGATCTTTCCATCCGAGCCAACCTCGACATACGCGTAATCACAATCAACCTTTCTCGGTATAGGAATGGTTCGAATCTGATTCCATTTGTCGTCGTGTATGGTTACGCAATTGTCCAAAACGTCTCCAGTGCATCCTTTGCAGAACTTACCACACGCGACCCTGTTTCTATCAATGGAGGAACAAGAGACAAAGAATGTACCAGCAGTACCCTCAACGACCCTCGTGGATGTTCCTAGGCTTAGATCGATGACATATAGCCCCATGTCATTTCTGTCGTGGTTTGTAACAGCACTTTGATGAAAGTGAGTCTATCAAGAGTGTTTAGCAAACACGGCCCAGCTGATTGGTAGCCCTTTTCATCGTGTAACGCACCAAGTGATTCTAAAACTTCCCGAGTATTTGTAATCAGATATTTATCATCTTGTTTTAGTTCTTTGATGTTGTCACGTTTTTCACAAACCATCTTACGCTTCATTTCTAAAGTTCGTCTCTAACTTCGTGATCCCCCCCCCCCCCCCCATTGATCCGCATGATCTCCTCAATGATCTCGCTCTTCTGCTGTTTCAAAGGCATCATTACTTTATCACAAAATTGGCAACATAATCTCAACTTTGCCTCCCTCTCCTCATTTATTCGTCGTATTTTTTCATCTGCATCTTCATTAATCATGCGTTCCTTTTCTCGTTTCATATTTATTTCCCTCTCAATTTGATTATCACAAGCATTTTGAACAGCGCTCCGAATTAGAGGTAGACTCGAAACTGCAATTTCTTTGCAGGATTGTAAACGTGCTTGAAGATCGAGTAAATGCTTGATCCCCTCTTCAACCGTCTTCTCTCTCTTTATCTCGTCGATAAGATCATCTATTGTCTCTAGGTTGCATCGCGTATGGTTCTCGGTAACGCACATGTCACAAATAGCGATCACGTGATATTCGCAGTAGAATCTGACTGATTTGGTGCGTTTGTCACATGACCACGATGTGTCTCGCCCTCGGTCTCGCCTTCTCCAGTTCACTCGTTCTCGTTCAAATGGCCCTGAGAAATCGGACGCTATATATCATATCATGCGATCTGTTCAAAGGTTAAAGGATATATCGTTGATTTATTAATTCCATGCTTCGGAAATATATGAATCTAGAACACAAATAGTATACATATAATTCATTGTTGCTAGTATTAGTGAATATGCACTCCACGCAAGTTAAGTCACAATAGGATCATGATCGTGATCCAGTCAAGTGTGACTTAACCAAGTGCATTGCTTATCAGTAATGCACAGGCTTCAAAACATAAATTATTTTGTTCATGAAACGGAAGTAATAAATGCCTCATCTCATGTTCTGACGATCTGAAGTCCCTGTAAAACAATAATCATACCAACTTATAAAGACAGTCCCTGCGCGTGCGTCTTTTTACTCTAATTGCTATTACCGTAAAGTAAGTATAAAATATACCGCGTGTCTACACATTTCGACCGGATTTAGCCGTGAACTCTCGTATTGTAACTGTCGGTACTCCATACTCTATACGCCTGCATATGTAGCGTTCCGTACTCTCATAGCAACTCATTTGAGAAGCACAATTGTACGTCACGATGTAAAACCACGGCAAAGTTAGCCCGTTTTTATCGTAAAGTTAAACTACTTGGTCTGCCCATATTATTTGGTCTGCACAGTGGTAAGCAATTAAACATGTTTTATTTGATTGGATTGTATCAGTGTTTGTGACATAGGTTTCGTCATTTAACTATAAATACCACAGATTATTTGATGATAATGAGAATGTTGCATGCCATTGCCCATGTTATAATATAGCATTATTCGGAACTGTAGAGGGCGAAATACATTCGCACTCACTTTCAATGAATACATAACTTACAAGATAAGATGTTTATATTTAATCTCCAATCTTGTTGCTCAGACAAACGTGTTTAACAATAAGAGCATGAAGTTTAGATACGTTACTTTATATTGCATTATGGTTGGTTATGATACATGTATTTAGTAGTTTATACTTGACAAGAATGCTAGCTCATAATGATAACAAGATATTTGTTTAGTAAGCACTGTGCTTTCTTTAAGATGGGTACCTGCTTGCAATAGTTAATTGCTTGTCATTTATTGTTAAGCGTGCGATGTTATTTCCGCACATTTGCATGGTTTGGGCCAGAATGTTAAGGTCAAGTTAGACACCTAATACCAAAGTTGAAAAGTTAACATGGCATCAATTGATATACTTTTCTTTGGCTTTGTTTTATAGTTCTTACGGCAACAACTTACGGCAACATGTAAAGCGACTTCCAAGTTAATCAGCTAAATCGGCGTCATCTATCAAGTTAACGGCTTATTCGATATTCGAGAGTAAGATTGAGAGGAACGATGACAATAAAGGAAGCATGATTAAAGTGTCCGTATACAAGACATGTGACTGTATTCATTTATGTGGTGTAAACGTGTCAATTCGAGAGGGGCAGGCACAGTAAGAACACTACGCGATGGATATGAAGCGTCATCTTCCATGGAGTCAACCACCGTCTGATTCCAGTCTAAGGAGTTGGCGAACCCTGATGACCGGCACGTCAGAGTCTCCAGGTTACATCGATGAATGGACTGCAACCTACTTTAAGGACAATTAGTCAGCGTTACCCGCTGGACATTAGCCAAGCCAGTCAGGAGCTGTACATTAATAACATTTAATAGAGACGTGACTTTCATGATGCTCCATGATAAACTCTAAACTTTAAGGACAACTAGTCAGCGTTACCCGCTGGATATTAGCCAACCCAGTCAGGAGATGTACATTAATAACATTTAATAGAGACGTGACTTTCATGATGCTCCATGATAAACTTTGATGCTAATGCTTACATTCTGAAGAGTTTATTTGCAACACCCATTTGGTAAGATAATGCAGAAAGACAATAAGTAAAGAGTGCATGCGAAGAGCTTGTTTGAAAGGATATTCTAGAATAATTGCCATCCTGGTTGCACCTGATTAATTCCATCGAACTTGTTTTGTAGAGGCAGCATTTGGTATTTCTTTGAAATGCATTAGTATTGTTGTTCAGCTGCTATAATTTGAATGGTTTGATTGACATGTTACTACCATTCGATAATAAAAGGATTTCAGTTTAAATTTATTGAGATTGCAATCTCGATAAGAGGGAAGCCTTTGCATATTAAGATAAAGGTGTTAAATTTGTGTACGTTGAGGTAAAACATTTTGTTTGATTATATAACTACATTTGATAACATTTAGCTATTTTGACTGATTGTGACAGTCCATTTGAATACGCGTAAGTAGGATATTAGTATGTTGAGCTGCTTCAGTAAATAATTGTATGTTAATATACAGTAAAGCAGCTGTGAGATATTAATTCTCGTTATTAATTTGTAAGTCTTTTTCAAAACACATTTGGAGTAAGCAAAGTTTGTTCCATTAAGTTCATTGATGATTATGATTATTCTGCTGTAACTGTCACACTAAGGCAGAAGTAGATTATTGATTTGCAAAGCTTAGTGATCTTGGGTCCACGTATATTGTAACGCTCTACTTGGAGGACCTATTATAGCTTTGACTTATACAGTCCTCTGATTCTGCTGAGTGTGAGGGCAGGATTCGTTCTTTCGATAAGATGGAGAATCAAGCGGAGGAGACCCATGTTAGAAAGTCGTCTAGAGAAAGACAGCCAACTGAAAAAATGGCAGCCCTTCAAGTTGGAGAAGAGATTAAGACAGAGAGAACATTCTTCAAAAAGTATGGTGCTTTAAAGACTGTTGTAAAGGAGGCAAGGTTAGCCATTAAAACAGAAAAGGAATAAGCTGCAATAAAGAAACACCTTGAAGCACTTAAAGATGGAGAAAAGGACTTGGTCATGATCTTTGAAGAGCTGAGGAGATATAAAGCTCCCATAAGAGAGATGAGGGAGCGAATGGACCGAGCTAGCGCTATGGTAAGGGATGGGATTAATGCCCTGGAAGAAGTGTTGGGGTCTCTTGGGAGCCCCTTTGACCCTACTGACCGCAATCAAATTGCCAGGGAACTTTTGAAACAGGATTATGCTCAGACAGTCTACAGTTCAATTCTAAGCAAAATAGATCCCGAAGAAGGACCTAGCCAACAGAACGAAGTCACATCTCCCTCTGTCCACAAAGATCACGATGTACTTCCTCCAGCGTTCAATGATCATGTTGCGTCTCATCCAGCGTTCAATGATCATGTGTCTCCTCCACCGTCCGTTGATCAAGTTATACTGCCTGTTGCTAGGGATCATGTATTTCAAGTACACATGCAAGAATTTGCCCAAGTGATGGCGAACAATATGCTTCGCAATCGGCTACCAGTCCCTGTGCCATGTACATTCAGTGGGAACCCTCTGGAATTTGTTGAGTTTGAACGGAGTTTTAGGACCTTAATTGGAGAGCGAATTCCACCCGCTGAAAAGTTGTACCATCTCAAGCAGTACGTCACTGGTCCTGCAAAGGATGCCATAGCTGAATTCTTTTATGGAGAGACCGAGGCTGCTTACGAAGGTGCATGGAAAACCCTGAAAGAACGATACGGACATCCATTCAGGGTTCAACAGGCGTTCAGGGACAAACTGAGCAACTGGCCGAAAGTCAGCCCTAAAGACGCTCCAGCCCTGCAGAAATTCACCGATTACCTGGGGAGTTGTCGCGATGCAAAGCCATACGTTGAAGGACTGCAGGTCCTTGATGACTGTCCGGAAAATCAAAAATTGCTAAACAAGTTACCTGAATGGCTTGTCTTGCGATGGAACCGTGTGGTGACTGACTCCCTTGAAAAATGCAAAAGATATCCAAGTTTCACAGAGTTTGTAACATTTGTGTCCAAGGAAGCGCGTATTGCGAATAACCCTGTTTCCTCATTGATCGCATTAAGAGGCCAAGAAGTGTCTTCTAAAGGAGAGTCAAGGATCAACGAGAGAAGAGAAGTTGCAAGTACCAAGGTCTCTGCCTTCAGAACCGAGGGCTACGAAAGGGACGATAGAAGAGCATCTGCAGGGATGAAGGATGCAAAACTAGGTGATGAAGCTTCTGCATCAAATCAATCGAGGGAAAAGGAGCAAAATAACAAGTGGACCCCAAAGCCCTGTAGCTTGTGCGCAGACATGAGTCACCGGTTAGAAAAATGCCCTCAGTTCAGGGCCAAGACGTTAGAAGAACGCAAGGAGTTCATTCAAGAATCTCGCCTTTGCTTCGGATGCTTGCGGAAGGGCCATTTTTCGAAGGATTGCACAAGGAGACACAAATGTGATACCTGTAGTAAACGCCATCCGACCCTCCTTCATGAGTATCGCTCTGACAAAGTTGATGAAGGAACACACACCGAAGGATCCAGTCAAGACATGGTTACATCTAACAAGGTACACACTGGCAATCAGGCCAGTACTTCGATGATCGTACCCGTGTGGGTGTTTTCTGCGCAAGCACCCTCCACAGAGATATTGACTTACGCTCTCCTCGATACGCACAGTGATACCTCATTCATACTCGAAGATGTGGCACGAGCCTTGAGTGTAAGCAGCCAACCAGTTTGTCTTAAACTTTCCACCATGACTTCTTCATCCACAATCGATTCTGATGCAATATCTGGTCTGTCTGTTAGAGGTATGACGCTTCCCACTAAGCTTAAGATAGAGAAGTGTTACACCCGAGACTTCATTCCAGCTGACCGGACACACATTCCAACAAGAAAGACTGCTGAAGGGTGGACTCACCTACAATATGTAGCACCGGAGATACCCGCACTCCAAGGATGTGAGGTCGGAATGCTGATTGGGTACAATTGCTCAAGAGCATTGGTACCTAGGCAAGTTCTCACAGGTACGGATACAGAGCCATATGCTGTCCGGACTGACTTGGGCTGGTCTATCGTGGGTTCCTCAGCATCCAAAACTGTCGGAGACTGGACAAGCCAGTGTCATAGGGTTACCACGAGAGAGATGCAAATGCCCCTTCCCTTCAAGAACCAGCATGAACTGCCCAACAACAGACGGCTTGCATCGATTCGGTTTCAGCATCTCAAGGGAAAGATGGAAACAGACGATCAATACAAGGATCATTATCTGGCATTCATGACAGATATAGTCAATGGTGGCTATGCAGAACGAGCTGAGAATAAAGCACCTCTAGGACCCACTAACTACATTCCTCATCATGGAATATACCATTCAAAGAAGAATGAGCTCAGGATAGTGTTTGATTGTTCTGCCAAGTTTGCTGAAAGGGCCAGCTCTGACCAACAACTTGACTGGGGTCCTGTGCAGATTCAGGAAGCACAAAGTAGCTGTGCTCTGTGAGAAAATGTTCTTCCCGTTCAGAGTCTTATGGTGGGAGGACAACGACATCATAAAGAATGCCTTTGTGGCCTTTACATTAGTAGTTTGTCTTTAATTGATGTTTATTATCGTTGTTAACGATCCATAAGACATTCCATGATGTGTAAAAAAAATCTTGTTGCTCAGACAAACGTGTTTAATAATAAGAGCTTGAAGTTTATGTGTAAAGATATCATTTTATTTGTCAGAACCATATGTAAGTGGAGTACCTATTTTGAAATTACAGATATGTTTATGTTGTTGAAGTAATTTGGTGGGAGTGTAACTGTCGGTTCTCCATACTCTATACGCCTGCATATGTAGCGTTCCATACTCTCATAGCAACCCATTTGAGAAGCACAATTGTACGTCACGATGTAAAACCACGGCAAAGTTAGCCCGTTTTTATCGTAAAGTTAAACTACTTGGTCTGCCCATATTATTTGGTCTGCACAGTGGTAAGCAATTAAACATGTGTTATTTGATTGGATTGTAGTATCAGTGTTTGTGACATAGGTTTCGTCATTTAACTATAAATACCACAGATTATTTGATGATAATGAGAATGTTGCATGCCATTGCCCATGTTATAATATAGCATTATTCGGAACTGTAGAGGGCGAAATACATTCGCACTCACTTTCAATGAATACATAACTCACAAGATAAGATGTTTATATTTAATCTCCAATCTTGTTGCTCAGACAAACGTGTTTAATAATAAGAGCATGAAGTTTAGGTACGTTACTTTATATTGCATTATGGTTGGTTATGATACATGTATTTAGTAGTTTATACTTGACAAGAATGCTAGCTCATAATGATAACAAGATATTTGTTTAGTAAGCACTGTGCTTTCTATAAGATGGGTACCTGCTTGCAATAGTTAATTGCTTGTCATTTATTATTAAGCGTGCGATGTTATTTCCGCACATTTGCATGGTTTGGGCCAGAATACCAAAGTTGAAAGGTTAACATGGCATCAATTGATATACTTTTCTTTGGCTTTGTTTTATAGTTCTTAAGGCAACAACTTACGGCAACATGTAAAGCGACTTCCAAGTTAATCAGCTAAATCGGCGTCATCTATCAAGTTAACGGCTTATTCGATATTCGAGAGTAAGATCGTAAGCCTGTAAACTTTCTTCAAGGGACGATGACAATAAAGGAAGCATGATTAAAGTGCCCGTATACAAGACCTGTATTCATTTATGTGGTGTAAACGTGTCAATTCGAGAGGGGCAGGCACACGTATTAGGAGGTCAGCGTTTTTGTAATGTACATCGCACCTTTACTTATAATTTTCAGGAACACGAGGAAGGTAAGGCAATCACTTTCACTCCAGTAAAAGAGTCCAGTAGCAAATTAAACATATATATATTTTAATCTGTTATACAATATTCCCTTCTTATCTTTAGTGTGGATACGGTTTTATGAATTGAGTCTACAATGAAAAAGTCTGGATACATAATGTGAGAGAACATAGAAAGAGGGAGAGGAAGAGAGAGACGGAAGAGCAAACAGTGACATTATATACCCTAACATTTCGTTTGCATTTAAATGCTGTATATGAAGATGATGGTGAGCAAAATAAATTGAGAGACCTTCGGCTTACGTGAATTCATGTCCACGTGATCATGAGGGGGTTTAACATGTAGGTTAAAACATTAGGTTAACACAATCATGCCAAACCATTGAACGGAACTATATTTCCGTTGAGTGATTCATGCGTTTCCTGCAAAAATTGGAAATATCCGATCGATATTTCGCAATACGCACTGCACCTCCTTTTAAATTGCGTACACGCAAACTGTAAACTGCTATACTACATCGTTTTCCTCTATGGTAGAGAAGTCCTCATCGTTACGGGATAATACAGCAAATTATTCGTAAGTAATATTTTGTGTAATATAATAATAAATACTTCAAATCATCTTAGCATAACATTTGAGGCATAGAACGTTCGGTAGGTAATGTTTGTCTTCTCTGTTGGTTGCATTTCAAAGAAGACACTAATGGGTTTGATAAGGAGCGTTACATCACGAATTTCATGATCAACGTGTATAAGACATGACTTTATTCGCCTGACTCAGTATGAATATATCAGTCATAACGTTCTTACAATTAATAGGAATAGAAGACAAAAAAATGAAGAAAAGAATAGATAAAATGCTTCATATTCTATCTAAGATTCGGTATCTGCTTTCCTTTTATTTTTCCTTACCCATTCGTTTATGTCTGTGTCACTCTTTCTTTCCTGATCCGCTTCTCTATCGTGTCTTCGCTTAACCAATACTGTACTGGGCTATTATGAGTACCTCGTGATTGGGGGGGGGGGGCGGGGGAGGGGGGGCATCTCAGCCCCCCCCCCCCCTCCCCCTATGATCTCGGCCGTCGAAGGTCCGAAAAACACGAAAATGTGCATGTTTGTAGATATTTACGTAAGGAACAAGATGGTATTAGTTTGTTCCTTATATCCACATTTTTGTCGTTATAGCCTAATTAATTATGCAAAATGCTAATGTTATGCATTTTACAGAAAACTCTACATATTTGTCTGTAGACTTCTGAAGAATGTTGAAAATGTATTGAATAAATGTTTCCTTCATCTCAAATTCATGAGGTTACATTATTTATATGTTATTGAAAATGCATAGGTTAATTTGCAATTTTGCATAAATTATGAATACGCATTTATGAATATCAATTATGGAAATATAAAGGGAACTAGAATCCTTACAAAAAAATTCTGACTCCACTTTTTGAATGTTAATTGAAACTCATTGTTCATATGAAACTTCTTTTCTAACACAAAATAGTTATTTTGATGTAATTAATGATAATTTATGAAAATTTGATGCGATTTTCAAATATTTATTTTCCTTTGTATTTTATTGATTTTCATTTCTTATATCTATTGTTTTATTTCTAAAGTATTCTTTTGTTCTGGAATACATCAAGTTACTTTGAGAAACATATACAAGCAATATGTTATTAATTCATATCTCCCAAATACATCTAAACCTGTATTCACATTTCTGCTTGTACATGAATATACAATTATAGCATATTTTTGATGACATGCACATACTAATTGTTATGTAACACCTCATAGGTATATCCGATTTCGACGAAAATGGTATCAAAATGTGCGGAAGACTTGAGGTAAAAAAAGTCATGAAACGACGCAATTTTTGAAAATGTCGAGCGGGGCTCCCAGCCCCCCCCCCCCCCCCCCTCAGTACAGTAAGGGTTAATCTCTAATTTCAATTTTTTTTTTTTTTTTTTTTTTTTAACTATGTAGGTTAATTGCTGCCATTTGCTCCTTATCATGGCGTCCAAGTTCCCGGCAGGGAGAGATGAAAAGGTCAAGCTACGCCCTAGAAAAGGTCATGACATGACATGGTCGTGTGACAAACATGGGGAGCCAATCAAATTTTACTGTAAAGAACCCAAAATCCCCGTTTGTCATCCATGCGCTACAAAAGATCATAAGCCATGTGAGCTAGACGACATCGAGGATGTCATCTTGGAGAGGAGGAGGAAACTGGATGACAGACAGCAAGAGATAGAGGAAATGAAGAAACAATTGAAAGCGCTTGATTCTAAACTAGAGTCCAATGAAACCTCTGCAAGTAACCATTTTCAATCAGTCAACGATGAAATTAAGGTGGCATTCGAAGACAAATTGCAGATTGTGAAAAACAAAGAGAAACGATCGATTCGTTCGATCGACGAGAAGGCGGATAAAGAAATCAAAATAATTAACGAAAAGAGGGAAAGACGAATCAAATCATGTCACGAAGAAGCAGAACAACAACAACTAACCATCAAAGAAAGCCAATCGAAATTAGAATCAGAGACAAAGGCAATCAGCGAGGTGGTTGCTAAAAAGATAAAAGATCTCACAAGTAAGAATCAGCATGCAATCACCATTATGGATAATGTTGACGCCAAAATCAAAAGAATCAAACAAGATGACAAAACATTAGTGAATGAAGCTCCTCAGGTACTTGCATCACTTGATGGCAATTTAAGTTTGATTGTTCATCAAGATGTTAGCGACTGTCTTGCCCGAATACTGCGGGGGGTTCAGAAAGTAGAGTTTGTCGAGGGTGAGGTAGGTGGGGAACAATACGGAAGAATCAATGGCTATATCGGTAAATGGGAGCTTGTCAAGTCAATCCAAGTTCATCCGATTGTTGATTTACCTGAGGTGTGTGGTTTGATCAGTGATGATGAGATATGTGTGTGGGACCAGGGAGGTTTTTTATCTAACATACCCTGGTGGGACTTAGATAATAATGCCACGTATGTTACAAATATCAGCACTGAACAGACAAAGAAAGTCATTGAAGGAGGAAGTAACGTGTATATTACATCATGCGCGTCCATAGACAACAACGTAATAGTATGCGGTAAGGGGAGACGAGACTACACAGGTGACAGCTTGGATGGATGCATCACTCTCTATGACAGACAATGGGAGGTGATTAGAGACATCAGCATACCGAGGAATAACTCTAATCGAGTGTACGTTGATGTTGACAGGGATGGGATGATCCTCGCTGCTCAGAACAATCAGTCTAATATCTACGTCATCAACCCTGCTGATGGTAAGATAGTCAACACTATTACGATGCAGGGCAAGGTGGTGATGGGTATGATACAAGCATTGTCATCAGGTGATATCACTATGCCGACAGTCACGCGTAGTGAATTCACTATCATATCACGATCTGGTGAAGCGAAAGTTGTCTTAAACTCTGATGACTGGTTCCTTCCACGGTGTCACGTTGACAAACTGACAGACACACTCTACATCACATACGTGGATAGAAAGCATAGTACCTTCGCAGTTGATCAGGTGTCATGTGATGGCATCATCCAGGCAAGGAGGATCGTGGAACGCGAGGAAGCAAAACGGAACCTCAACCTTTACACCAACCAAATCCTCGTAACTCCTTCTGGTAACCTTGTAA